ATAAAAGCCACTTCCTGTCTCTGTACCTTTGCCAGATAATTGTGGTTCCTGTACTCTCTAATCCAGCGTGTTCCTGTTTCTCCTTCTTGTTGCTGAATTTGGACTGTTTTTGACTTTGCTGCTTCTCCTTCCCACTGACCTCGGCTTGCCTCACTACGATTATCATCTTTCTGTTCCAGTCTCCCATCTCTGCTTAAGACCAGAAGGCCACTCAAGGCTCAGGGGCTCAACCACCTGGGTAACGAGTGGCTACCTCTGGCAGAAAACATTGCTGATCTGGCCACTGGACTCCAAAACTTTGTAACATCAATATCATTACAGAATAATCTGGCCCATTCATGGAGACCGTCGGATCAGATTCTGCATTGGCCCAGCAGGTTGCTTTTAATGCAAGAACTATGCAGACCCAGGCACAGACCATTCAAGTGCTGCAGGATCAGGTAGCTGAACTGCAAAATGAAGTTCGATCAATGCATAGTGAGCTTACCAGCTACAGGGCACATGATGTTGCGGCTGCTGCTACTACTACTGTTACACCTGCACAAGATGCCCGCTTGCCTCTACCAGAAAAATTTGGAGGAGACCGCAAAAAATTCAGGGGTTTCCTAAATCAGCAGGAGCTCCTATATTCTTTGTAGAAAAGAAAGATGGCAGTCTACGGCCATGTGTCGATTACAGGGACATTAATAAAATCACTGTTAAAAACCGTTATCCCTTGCCTCTCATTTCTGAACTTCTGGAGAGACTTCGTTCAGCTAAAATATTTACGAAGCTTGATCTACGGGGGGCATATAATCTGGTTCGCATAAGACCAAATGATGAATGGAAAACAGCTTTCAGAACCAGGTACGGACATTACGAATATCTAGTAATGCCATTTGGGCTTTGTAATGCCCCTGCAACTTTTCAGCATCTAATCAATGATGTACTACGGGATCTCCTGGATCAGTTTGTTGTGGCATATTTGGATGATATCCTGATATTTTCTGATAATCTTGAAAATCACAGAAAACAGGTCTGCATTGTTCTTGAGCGCCTTCGTACCCACCACCTATACATTAAACTGGAAAAATGTGAGTTTGAACAAACAGAAATTCAGTTCCTGGGGTATGTAATAACTCCTAAAGGTTTAAGTATGGACGCAAGTAAAATTAAAGCTGTGCTGGACTGGCCCATCCCCAAGAATGAAAAAGATATACAGAGATTTGTGGGGTTTGCCAATTTTTACAGGCGTTTCATTAAGAATTTCTCTGCCGTTATTACACCGATCACTGAACTTACACGTAAAGGGACTCCTTTTCAGTGGTCCAATAAGGCTGACACTGCATTTTCCAGATTAAAGACTCTGTTTACATCTGCCCCTATCTTGGTACATCCTCAGCCAGAATTGCCATTTACTGTAGAGGTAGATGCTTCTGATTCAGCTGTTGGGGCTATACTGTCTCAAAGGACTGGACCTAAGATGTTGTTACATCCATGTGCCTTCTATTCCCGCCAGATGTTACCAGCAGAAAGAAATTATGACATAGGGAATAAAGAACTTTTGGCTATAAAAGCTGCCTTCACCGAATGGAGACATCTCTTGGAGGGAGCCACCCATCCAATTACTGTCCTCACAGATCACAAAAATCTGGAATGTATCCAATCCGCTAAGAGACTGTCAGCCAGACAAGCACGCTGGTCCCTATTTTTCTCAAGGTTTAATTTTTTTATTTCATACCGCCCTGGTTCCAGAAATGGCAAGGCGGATGCCTTGTCTAGGATAGCTGACCCCCTCCATACTACAGTAACCAAGGCCACCATCTTGCCGGAGAGCAGATTTTTAGGAGTTACCTTTCCTTCTGATCTAATGTCTCGCATTAAAAGGGCTACTCTAAAGATCCAGTTTTTCGTGATCCTCCTCGTGATCTTCATATGACCATGCTTAATGGGTTTTGGATTTTTCAACAACGTCTGTTTGTTCCAGAATCAGTGCGACTGGACGTTTTACGCCTCTACCATGACTCTAAACCAGCAGGTCATCCAGGAATCCGAAAGACACAAGAACTACTTACCCGATCCTTTTGGTGGCCTAAATATTATGAGGATGTTAAGAAGTATGTGTCATCTTGTGATGTATGTGCCAGACATAAGACTCCTCGCTCATCCCCTGTTGGCTTGCTTCAGCCTCTTCCGATTCCTCATCGTCCCTGGGGATCTATATCCATGGACTTTATTGTGGAACTACCTCCCTCTAAGGAACACACTACTATTCTTGTTGTTGTGGACCGGTTAACTAAGATGAGTCATTTCATACCAGCTCGTGGTCTCCCTTCAGCTAAACAGACTGCTGACCTTGTTATTCGGGAAATATTTCGCTTGCATGGAGTGCCTGATGAAGTAATTTCTGACAGGGGAGTGCAGTTTACATCTCATTTTTGGAAATATTTTTGTTCTATTCTAGGTATTAATGTAAATCTGTCTTCAGCTTTTCATCCACAAAGTAATGGACAGACTGAGCGAACCAACCAGACTTTAGAACAATATTTGCGGTGCTATATTAGTTACCTGCAGGATGACTGGCTGGATTTTCTACCCACGGCGGAGTTTGCCTATAACAATGCCCAACACTGCTCCACTTCTCTGAGCCCATTTTTTGCCAATTATGGTTACCATCCAACCTTTCTAGTGAGTCTCCCAATTACTACTCCCATTCCTGCAGTCACTGACCGGCTAACCGCCTTACGAGATTCCCAAGAACTGTTGAAGGAGACTCTTTCGGAGGCTCAGGAATGTTACAAAAGAGCTGCTGATAGGCACAGAAAGGAGGCCCCAGTTTATCATGTTGGTGACAAGGTTTGGCTGTCAACAAAGAATCTTAAGCTTAGGATTCCTTCTCATAAATTGGGTCAAAAGTTCATGGGACCTTTTAAGATAATCGCTCAGATCAATGCAGTCACCTTCCGTCTGCAACTTCCGGATTCCATGAAAATACATCCGGTATTTCACGTGGCACTGCTTAAACCTTTTCATGAAAATACTTTCCCTGGTCGAGCCTTGCCTGCCCCACCACCAGTCCTCGTGGATGGTGAAGATGAATACGAGGTGGAAAAAATTCTTGACTCCAGGATCTTCCGCAACAAGCTTCAATACTTGGTTCATTGGAAAGGCTATGGTGAGGAGGATAGATCGTGGGAACCAGTGGACAATATTCATGCTCCTGATCTTCTTCAGTCTTTCCATGCACAGTACCCTGCTAAACCAGGAAATAGGGCATCCAGAGGCTGCGCCTGTAGAGGTGGAGGTAATGTGAGGAACTGACTCTGCTGGGTTTCGAACCCTGGTTTACATGGTGCTAAACCTTTTCCTTACCAGTACACCAGCCTGCCTTTTGCAAATTTACCTGAGATCTGATACTATTGCTTGTAGAGTCAAGGTTATCAGTGACAACTCACTTCAGCTGTGTCTGGTCAGGTGTCTGGTTCTTGGCCTATAAAAGCCACTTCCTGTCTCTGTACCTTTGCCAGATTATTGTGGTTCCTGTACTCTCTAATCCAGCGTGTTCCTGTTTCTCCTTCCTGTTGCTGAATTTGGACTGTTTTTGACTTTGCTGCTTCTCCTTCCCACTGACCTCGGCTTGCCTCACTACGATTATCATCTTTCTGTTCCAGTCTCCCATCTCTGCTTAAGACCAGAAGGCCACTCAAGGCTCAGGGGCTCAACCACCTGGGTAACGAGTGGCTACCTCTGGCAGAAAACATTGCTGATCTGGCTACTGGACTCCAAAACTTTGTAACATCAATATCATTACACCCGAACCACAAAGTTCAGGTTCGTACCGAACATTAAGTTTTTTGGACCCCGGACCCAAACACAGACATTTCAGTGTATGTTCGGGTTGGAGATCGGTGTTCGGTGATTTAATGGCGCGTTTTGAAAGGCTGCAGGGCAGCCAATCAACAAGGGTTTGACTCGTTTGCCCTTAGAAGCCATCACAGCCATCCGTCAAACACTGTGCTTTCAGCGCACTTTGAAAAATTCTAATTTATTTGGGTGCTAAATGGTAAATTTGCAGCCTGCACTTCATATCTGAGAGTCAAATAGAACCGTCAAACACTGTGCTTTTAGCGCACTTTGAAAAATTCAAATTTATTTGGGTGCTAAATAGTAAATTTGCAGCCTGCACTTCGTATCTGACAGTCAAAAAGAACCGTCAAACACTGTGCTTTCAGCGCACTTTGAAAAATTAAAATTGTTTTGGGTGATAAAAAGTAAAATTTGGGGTGTGCACTTCATATCTGAGGGTCAAATAGAACCGTCAAATACTGTGGTTACAGCGCAGTTTGACCAATTCAAATATTTTTGGGTGCTAAATAGTACATTTGCGGCCTGCACTTCATATCTGACAGTCAAATAGAACTGTCAAATACCAATATAACAATATTGTAATTCGGGGGCAAACTGAGAGGTCAGTTTATAGGGAAAACTGTTGCCTGGATACAATTCTAAAACAATTCCCATATGTCCTTTGCAGAGTTTAAATGCTGGAAAAACACAGGTGCCAACTGATGTTGAAGTTAGGAATCAGTGTGGAATGGATCAACAGGGTCTGGTGCAGGGTAACCGCACGCCCCCTGGTGTTTAGCACCATTGTTTGTGCGGCCACATACCAGGACCCTGATGCAGCTTCAGTAAAAAGAATACTGGATACCAGAAGCCATCATCAGACTGATCCGCAACTTGGAACAGGATGTGACATTCACTGTAGCAGCTGTGTTCGCTTTCAGCGTTCTCACCCTGCTGCTGCCCACCTCATATGCGATGTGCCCACAAGGTGGAACTCCACCTTGCACATGCTGGAGAGACTGTGCGAGCAGCAGCAGGCGATAGTGGAGTTTCAGCTGCAGCACTCACAGGTCAGTCGCTCTGCACCAGACTTGCTCTCCAATTGATCCTAGTTAAAGGATTTCAAGTGGACTCATTACAATTACAGGGCCTCCAAAGAGACCTGTATTGTTATTTGTCGTCACTACTTCCCCGCATCGGGAGTGGGTAATTTGCGCGCCTGCTGCCTTCCTTGGACGTGGTAGCTGTTTCTTAGGCTCCCTCTCCGAAACGAACCCTGATTCCCTGTTACCCGTGGTCACCATGGGACGTGCGATTGGCCCAAGGTTCTCTAGAGTCACCAAAGTGCCTGCGTAACTATAATGTCGACAGCTACTCTGCCGAATGGATTTTCACTAGTAGATAGGGGATGGTGGGGGGCCATGGGTCTGTTGGCAGGGACATGGGATCCCGCCGCTTGCCACCAATTTAAGCGGGACCTGGGTAACCGATGGTTATCCCCTTTGATTAGAATAGGTCAGACCCATTTCCCCAGTAACCGTATGGGACACAGTTCCAGGATACAACGTCTGACAATCTTTATTTGGGTACACAGCTTTGCCTCCTGTTGCCTCCTCCTCCTACTCCTCTACCACCTTCTCATCCGGTCAGCGTTAACACCTTCACCACCAACTTCAGCACAGCCAGAGGGAAACGACAGCAGGCGGTTTTAAAACTCATATGTTTGGGGGAAAAACCCCACACCGCGCAGGAGCTGTGGAACGGCATGGAACAAAAGACCGATGAGTGGTTGTTGGAACTGAGCCTCAAGCCCGGCCTGGTGGTGTGCGATAATGGGTGAAATCTCGTAGCAGCTCTGGGCCTAGTCGGTTTGTCGCACATCCCTTGCCTGACGCATGTGCTGTATTTTGTGGTGCAGAAATTCCTGAAAAACTACCCATATATATCAGAGCTGCTGCAGAAAGTGTGTGCTGTCTGTGCGCGCTTTCGGTGTTCTGACCCTGCTGCTGCTCGCCTGTCTGCGCTGCAGCGTAACTTCGGCCTTCCCACTCACCGCCTCATATGCGACGTGCCCACAAGGTGGAACTCCACCTTGCACATGCTGGAGAGACTGTGCGAGCAGCAGCAGGCGATAGTGGAGTTTCAGCTGCAGCACGCATGGGTTAGTTGCTCTGCGGAACAGCACCACTTCACCACCAATGATTGGGCCTGCATGCAAGACCTGTGTGCCATGTTGCGCTGTTTCGAGTACTCCACCAACATGGCCAGTGTCGATGACACCGTTCACAGCCTTACTATCCCGCTTCTATGTCTCCTTGAAAAAACGCTCCGGGCGATGATGGAAGAGGATGTGGCACAGGAGTAAGAGGAGGAGGAAGAGGGGTCATTTCCATGGTTATCAGGCCAGTCATTCACAAGTGGCTCAGGTACACAATTGTCCAGCATCTCCACACTGTCCCATGGAAGCGTTCAGCTGTCTATCTTCAAAACACTGGAGAGAAAGAGGAAGTACCGCCCTAGCCACCCGCGATCCCTGGCCCTGAATGCCAGCATTTCAAAATTTGTGGCCTTTGAAATTCTGTCATTCCATTTTAAAAACCTGATGGCGTTATTGGACTGCAAGAAATGCACCGCAGGCCGCAAATGTTTCTTTTTTTTTATATGTCCCAATATTTTGGGGGCTACTCCAATTAAAAAAAAAACAAACAAAAAAAAAAAAACAGTGTTGGCTACCTCCTCCTCCTCCACCGCTGCTTCCACCTACACCGCCACGGTCACTGCCTCCTCAACCTATGGGTCACTTAGTATAAACTATGTACACAATAGCAGAGGCTTGTGAAGACCTTTTCTCCATGCATCAGAAGTTGAGCATTTCTCCATGCATCAGGACTGCAAGAAATGCACCGCAGGCCGCAAATGTTTCTTTTTTTATATGTCCCAATATTTTGGAGGCTAACCTAATTAAAAAACAAAACAAAACACACCAAACAAATAAACAGTGTTGGCTACCTCCTCCTCCTCAACTGCCACTTCCACCTACACCACTACGGTCACCGCCTCCTCAACCTATGGGTCACTTAGTATAAACTATGTACACAATAGCAGAGGCTTGGGAAGGCCTTTTCTGCATGCATCATGAGATGAGCTCAGTTTGAACAATGAAAGAGAATACCCTGCACTCCAACCCTCTCTCAAATGGATAATTCTGGTGATCCTCCTAACAGCCATGCTTTAGATTTTGATTTATGTTCTTCCAAAGCTAAAATCAAAGATTCCATCTAGTAATATTTTATGGCTCAGCTGTATTTTTAATGTTTATGTATTTTATCTTATTTTAAGTGATTTCCCTATCTACATTTGTTTGCAGGGCACTTGTCCTACTCTTACCCCCATTTTACTTCCTTTTGCAGCCCTCTAGCCCTTTCCAATACTTTTTTAGAACCATTTGTGTGCCCAAAAGGTTGGGTTACCATTGACTTCAATGGGGTTCGGGGTCAAATTCGGGGTCAAGTTCGAGCCCAGGTGTCAGCTCAACTCTACAGATGACATCTCTGCTGACAAACATCTCTGTCCAAAGCCGAGAATGAATTCGGGGATTGAGAGTTTTTTGTTAAGATGTTGGTCCCTTGTTTTTAGGATCACGGAAATATCTCCGTCATTAAAAGCTCTATTTTCTAAAATGTCCTGCGAAGCAATAAGGAGAGAGACTAGGATGACATCATTACCATCTAGAATGTCTTTCTTAATGGAAGCTGGAACCGAATGTGCAGGGGTGATGACGTCTGAAGTGGAGGGAGTAATAGTAATGGCACTACCCTGTGTGTTTGAGGGTGCAGGTGTGGGGGCTGGAACGTTAGATGCATTGATAACTGTAGGGATGATGGTTTCTGTCTTGGTCATCCTCTCGTTAAGCGACTGTCAGGATTACAAGTTGATCCAGTACGCAGTACTGTGTCACACCTAGGACTAAGGATAACGTATAACCAGACCTAAGAATGGCCGAAGTTAACGTCTCCAAGAATAGTCAAAACACTTTCCGAGGTCAGGGACACAGAATCAGACAAAATGATGAGGGAAAGCCAAAAGTCAAGGATACCAGATATCAGGGAAGTCAAAACAAAGCCAAAGTCAAATACCAGAAAATCAAGATCAGGAACGCACTCTTGGATAACCATACGCATGAAACCACGACAGGGCGCTGAGCAAGAGGAGAAATGGCCCTAAATACCCCTCCTATGGATCTGATTGGCTGTAACCGGCCTTTGACCCCAAAGGCAATTACCAGGTTTCAATTTGCACGATTGCTGCTCAGCACAAACCCTCCTGTGGATTTAAATTGCTGCTCGGCACAACTTTTCCTGTCAGGACAGTAATGTTGCTTGGCATAATTTTTCCTGTCAGGACAGTAAATGCCAGTAGCTTATAGAGTTCTGCTTTCCTAGCTGTGACCGGGAAAGGAACATTCCTATGGCATAGTTCTGCTGTCAGTTTAGGAATGGTCCAGGATCTCAGAGACCCAGGGGTAGCTGGAATGAGCGATTCAGCAGGTGAGCTTGGTCTAACAGGCGTCTCCTTGGATTGATTCTTGCAACATCCTATAAAGAGATAAGTAAATAAAATACTATTTTGAAAGCCAATGGTGATATCCCGTATATAGAACTGGCTTGCTAGCTAATGCCGGTGGCGAAGAACTGAACTGCCCCATGACAGGTGAATCCCTGCTAATTGCCAGGTGGTGAAGAGAGGCTCTACCTATGATTTGGCTCATGGGGAAATCTGGCCACAAATTGGTGTGGTGGGATGTTGGCTTCTTGGTGACAGTATGGAGTAAAAATGCATATGGCCATGGCATGTGACATTCTAAATAACCCCTGCAGAAGAGGATAAGGCAATTAATCTAACATAAGGCCGCGTGGGCGATATCTCCGCGAGAGATGGGGTGTAGGCCTCATGGGAACAATAACGTAAACAAAGTAGTAAGGCCAGCTCCTAACTCTTGCAGTCAGTTCTATATCCCTAGCAGGGGCTTGTCTTATAAAAAGCAGCGTAAACATAACTGTACATACTAAATAGGTTGAAAAATATAAACAGTAGAAAATCTGGAGGAAGGATGTAGCTGGAAATGACACCTATATGAAAAAAAGATCAAGCAATTAACCTATGACAAGTGAAGTACTGGATTATAGATTTGTGTATATATACAGAATGTACCCTAAACAGAGCTGATGAGAGTGTACTATCACCAGAGAGGAGTTTGTCATGTGCACCTATACATAAACGAAGATACGTATGAGTAAAAGAAGAAGGCATATATTTTTAACGAAGAGTTTAAAAGAAATGAAGAATTACCTGATAGGTGTTGGAGTAACTCTCTGTATCTTAGTTTGTCTTAAAGTAGTAATTGTCAAAGCTAGAAAACAGATAGTACAACAGAGGATCTTTGTAAGAATGTAACGTATTGAGGACCTAACGTGGGTCCGATGCAATGAGACAAGCTGCTTAACTGAGCACAACGTGTAAACATAAAAGGCAGTGCGAGGCCTTAATGTACCAGTTTAACAAAGTATATGAACTCAGAAAATGAAAATACCTGAAACAAGATTGCTGGAAGAACACCTCTGTCCTAGGTTTCACTAGCAATATTGCTAACAATTGATATAGACACCTAAAATATGTAATATGTGTCAGGATGAACCAGTGGCCCAACATGCAGAATTAAGTAAAACACGTAACAAATACAAACAGTAACAATGTATTACCGGACCTTAGAATGGCCGGAATTAACGTAATAGAATAAACAGTCACGAGCCGAGGTCAGGAATACAGAAAGGAACAAATACAGAAAGAACAAAGCCAAAGGGTCAGGGATACCAGAAATACAGGAAGTCAAGCCAAGCCAAGAACAAATATCACGTGATGCCACATGCACGTTCACGTCAATAGTAATGTCATTGTGGGTGGCGTTATTACATAGCGCCACCTTGCAGCAGCCAGCGGCCTTCCTAACACTGGACCTGGCCACTGCATTACAAACTGCATGTAGGGAGAACTCTGGAGGTAAGGTGAGTAACCCCTCCCTCTTTTAGTGTGACTGCACCGATCTGGTGCGGTCACACTGAGGTGCCGATCGGACAATATGATAAGAGAACAAAATAAGTACCAAGTTTATGAAAATATATATAAATATGTATATGAAGACATTAATATAGAAATAGTATTTAACCTATCGAGCAAGCGTAATTTAATTTATGTTTGACTACTTAGTAATAGTATCTCGTGAACAGAATCCCAGACAATTATATGAAGCTAAACGATTGGTAATAAATCAATGGTACAAGTGTATTCGAACAATGGGAGCTAATTCCACGTT